TACCAGAACCTTGCCACACAAGCCCAGTACAGAAGTTTATGGCAGAATTACCATTTTTACATCAACGTGGTCTGGACTTCATCCCACGCTACCAGCCTGACAAGTTGTAACACTGGACAGACAACTTTGCTCAGGTCTGTAGGTAAAGGCTGTCCTCACGCACATGCGTTGAAGAGTCCTTCCCTCTCCAGCCAAGGCTGCGCTATTCAAAATCCCAGGCACCAGCACGCACAGCGACGGCAATGATCTCCACCTAACATCCAGTAGTTCCACCGCTTCCACTAGCTCACCGCCCATGCAGCAGAGAGGCAACAAACCTAAACTGCGAAGGAGAGCTGCGGACACACCAGCTGTCCCTCGTGGCCATCATTTCTCACCTCTCAGATTTTACTGCTCTCCTCTTTTTCTTTCCATCAGTGCTGTTAAGTACCGAAGTGACAGAATGCCAAGGACAGAAATGAAGAGTATCTGATGCAGAACCGATTAGGCAAATAAACAGACAATAAAATTACCCAGACAATTAGAATTAAGGGAATTAAGGGAATAAGGAGATTTATTCTCTGCGTTAAAAATCAGTTGAGATCCCAACTGGAAGTGAGGCCTGCTTAGGTAAGTGTCAGAAAGGTGCTCAGCTCCTGGGAAGAAAAAGGCTTGTTTAACCACAAACACACATCCACAGGGACTAACGAGGAAGCTGAGCAGTAGCACTGCAGAATTAGGAAAGTAAAAATAGGAAGTAGGGATTAAAATCTCTCTCTAAATTTGATGTGCTCTGACAAAGGCTTTGTAAAAAGGAGCGAGAGGCACAGGCCGAGCTCACCACCGCTCCCGCGGGGGCAGGCGGAGGCGTGAGCGGCCCGATGGCGACTGGGACGGGCCTCGGGTGGCGCTGGGGAAACGGCACGTGCTGAGCATGCAGCTGGAGCTGCCATGCGTCATTTCATACCACAAATACCACAAGAAACACCCCTTGGGCAAACTTTCAGCACGGGCAGCCTCTCTCCAGCCTTTCTTTTTAAATCTGTCAAGAGAAATGAGACAGCACTCGAGCAAAAGGCGCAAGGTCAGCCAGCTACAACAGGCAACAGGAACGTTCGGTAAGGGGAAAAGACGACAGCCCCAGCGGGGTCAGAGCAGAGAAGGCGACAAAGGTGGGCTGGCAGACCTGGAGCAGAGGGAGCAAATGCTCAGGCAAGTGAGGGAGCTGGAGGTTTGGGCAGGTGCCCGGTACGCGGCACCCGGGGCAGTGTGGTGGAGAAGGGACTGGAAAGAGACGTAGGTGAACAAAGCATTGCACTCCCACCGGCAACAGGCAGGAGAAAAGACCAGCATAGTTCCTCTGATGCTAAATCTTACTGACATTTTGCTGCTATGTGCTCTTCCCACCCGCCCTCCCCTTCTGCACCCAGCATTCGGCCCCCCCGCCGCAACTCGTCCCTCCCTCCCACCCATCTCGCGTCAGGCAGCAGGAGGCTTTTCCACTCCCTGCCCCCATGGCCCCCATCTTCTCTTCATTCACCTTAGGCTGATGTCCCCCTTACGAGCTCACCTCAGGCTCACCGTCTCCCTACCCACACGCTGTCCCACTTCTTCCTTCTGCTCTACTCGTCCTCCACCTGCTGCCATCCTCCTTCTTCACTGTTGTCCCCTCGATGTCCCCCTTTCCTCCTGCTTTCCCACCTACCTCAGGCTCCTGTTTCGGCCTCTCAGACCTTCCTTACTCACTTTCTTGGCTCTTGCAAAATTCTCCCATCCTGTTGCTTGGCTGAAAGAAGACCCACTAATTTTATTGCCCAGATACAGGCATCACCACATTTCTCACACAGAAAGGTGAGAGACGTGTCCTAAGAGAATATGCTGCAGGCGAAGTTGGAGGCCCACAATCCCATACTTTCTCCAGAATCATCCTATCCATTTCTCATCCCCTGCGGGTGTTTTGGAACACTGTACCATTTTTACCGGTGTCTTCCTGACTATCTTCACTCTCACGATCAGATAGTTTTTTCCTTTCTTCTTTTCTGTACTCCTGTCTGGTCTCCATTTCATCCTCAACAGTTTCCACACTCGCTTCATGACTTGGTAAGATGATTAACACTGAATCTTTGCCTGATTTCTGCTCAACGCTGTTTTTACTTGGCTTACTGTGCACTCCATCTCTCCAGGAACCCACATGCTTTTCCTCATGGTCCTCCATCTTTCTCTTGGGAAGGGATGGCTTTTTGTCCAGACCCATTGCAATAATGCACCTGTAAAAAACCAAGGAGAGTTGGGAAGTACCACATTTTTCTTTCTGTGAATGCTGGAAGGGCAGCAGACACAGTGAGCTAGTCAGCTCATTATCACCAGTGAGAGCAGGTACCTGTCCACCTCTGCACTGCCACTCAGACAACAAGGTTACTGGTAATGGCTCACTTGGAGAAGCACCCTAAAGTCCTCCAGTGCTCCGCAAACACACATGCAGTTCCTCCTTGAAGGAGAGTAATGCTGTCTGCACTTAAAGGTGACAATTAAAGTATCAACAGATTAAAATCAAAATTACCATAAGGGTCCATTAATTTCAAGCTACACCAAGCATCATCTGTGAAGATATAACCATTGAGAAAGGCAGACAAGCTCCAAGTCGGAGGTGTGCTTGATCCAGATCCTGCTGTAACACCCAGTAAAGTGATAACTCAGGCTTTGTGGATCAGACTTTTTTTATTTTTTTTTTTTTTAACAACTGTGGGGGAAGAGGGAGATTGAAATGGAATTATTTTCAGTTTCTGTTCTGTTTTTCCTACCTAACAGAAACCCAAACAGTTGGAAAACAAAGCATTTTGAATGATTTGTCAAGACTGCTTCTCTTGCATAAAATGGAGTGACAGCCTCTCTACCTTATGGTTAGGAGGCTCATGTAGGAGACCAGAGTTCCTACTCCTGACTAACATTAACTGCAGACACAAAGAGCCACCCATGAGTGTCAGAACATGGCGCTGTATGTAGTACGTTGATTCAAATCTGCAAGCAGAAGATGAAACTGAAACTGGAACTTCCACTTTAGCTAATCACAAGTCTCTCTGGAAAGCCGTATTTTCTTCTAAGACAACTGTCTCTTAAAAACTTTTCCTCCACCAAAACTGTTTTTTTTATGGAAGGCTTGATTGCAATTCCCCTCACATTCCAGCTGTTTACAAGCTGAAACATCCTACAGTCATTCAGTCTAGAAATCCTTTAGTTTTGCAGGCATAAAATGTAACTGTGAAAATTTCTGAAGAGTCCTACCTTTTAATTATTTGTTTATGGTATTTTTTTCATGGACCTTTGAGATATTGAAGCACTTTTACTGTACAGAAACGGTGGGCCTACTCCAACAGAAAACTCTCTGTGCAAGGATCACAGCATCGGTGTAGAAATCAATGCGGCATCACCTCTTTGTGAACCAAAGCCTTAACCTAAAAGGGAAAATCAACTGGGATCTTTACGGAGAATCCCAGTCGGTATTGAATGTGTGGACATGGTGTCATACTCAAAACAGCAAACAAATACAACTGCATTTGACCTGAGTAAGACGTGAAAACAGCTGTCATTTACGGAGAGAATCTGGTAATGGAGATGTTTCTTAGTCACCAGATAAGGTTGGCCGGACTAACAAGAAACAGGAAAACAGAGATATCATTAAGGATAAAAGGATAAAGGGGATAGAAGGTGGGGGTGACTCAGGAAGAAATTAACCAATTTCTGGAGACTATATTAATTCAGAAAATTCACTTCAAATCTTTCTAGAAATCGCACAAAAGCTGAGATTTGGGAATTTCCTAAACTGTATAGCCACTATACCCATTCTGAATTCAAATGCTTTTCACTACTTCGAACATTCTAAATAATACATTTACATAAATCATGTTCAGTGTTAGTTTGGAGTAGAAAAAATACAGTACAATAAAGTAGAATTTTTTTTTCTTAGAATTCTGTCCTTTTCTAAAATACAGAGTATAGCTCTGTGAAGGTTCTCTTCTTCCAACTGCTTGCTGCTCTTTTAAGAAATACTTATGAAAAGAACAAAAAAAGTTTTAAAATTATCCGTGTGTGCAGACATTTACTTGCCTGGCATGACTTAACAATCACACAAAAGGAAGACTTTATTAAAATTAAAGCTTCTTGGCAAAACCACAGCTGTTGCTCACAGCATTGACTTTTGCCCAAAACCAAGAATCTTCTGCACAGATTTGTTGTCTGAAACATAGTTAACATTCAATCCTGTCTTATTCTGCAGCCAGAGGTATTACAGGAGAATCCGACCTTAGAGGCAGAGCTGTTTAAAAATAAATTATCTTGTTCTCACAATCACAAAGAAAACCCTAAAAAGTACAGTTAACTCAGCAGCACTCCTGGTATTTATTTCACTGTCGCTTCCCCCAGAAACATGCAAGTGGCATGTGTATACCACCCCACACCTATTCCTCTGTACTCGACTGCTGCGGAAGGGCTGAGAGCCTCCCGACAGGCTGACAGACCCAGTGCGAACACTGCCCGCTGCTGTGCAGACTCCACAGGGCGACTACAGAGGCAGCACAAAAGTAGCTGGCTTTGATGGCAGCCTTGGATGTGAGCCCCTGAGGGCTAAGCTCAATTCTGCACATTTCAAGGAAACAGACCAAGTTCTACAGAACTGTGGGGTGCTAGGAAGATGAAAAAAGAGGAAACAAGTGATAAACTCTCTAAAAACTGGGCTGTTAAGTCCTTGTAAGCAAAGTGTATTCGTCTCCATACCTGTAGCAAGGAGATGCACCCTCCACATTGAGAAAGCCGAAGTATCCATGTCTGCCTCCCAGCCTGGAACGCTTCTGATGTTTGTACTCACAGCAACAGCTCAACCTGTCCACTTGCATCCCATTGAGAAAAAAGGTGAGGCTGAATGGGAAACCATGGTGCCTCTTTGAGACGAACTGAAAGGTCTCTGTAATCACAGAAAGGAAAGGGTTCAGAGAAAAAGGTTACACTTTACTGTCAGTAATGGCTGTATCTCATCTGCATCACCACCAAAGCATGCAGCTCTCTGAGGACAGGTACTTTGGCTCTCAGCTGTGATAATTAGTTGGTAAAACTCTACCTCCTCCCCACACAACAGCCTTGTCTCTCTCCAACCCTGAAGCACCAAGCTGGACACTCCTGTGACAAGCGAATACATCGTCAGGTCGGCCGCTCTCTGCTACAGCAGAACAGCGACCAGCGCCTCCCGTCTCAAAAAAATTAACTCGGCCACTTGCCTTGCAAGAGTGTACATTATGCACAGAAATTTTAGGATTCCTGGCGTGTGTCCACATGGTGCAGTGCAGCCCTTTGTTAGAGCTCCTGCAGTGTAATGCACACGCTCCTCAGTGCAGCACCTCGCAGGGTGCAAGCCAGGCTCCACATCGGTACAGCTGCGATGTTAGTGGCTCTGGGCCTGCGCGGACACGGTCCTACTCATAGCAACACTGAGCAGCTGAAAGATGCTGATTCTGGAGCCATTTCAGGCTACTCTGCAAGGGCATTGTTCGGCGTCCAGGCCTCACGGGCACTGAGGCTGCTACCCAGCTCCATGCCGGGGGTGACTGGGTTGCACTGCCTTTACTCACAAGCCATAGTATCCTTCCAAAGCAAACTGAGCGCACACCAGCGGGGAGGAAGCCTAAGGAGGAGGCTCCCTAAGAGGTGTGAAAAGGGCTTGGGGCAACAGGAGCACACACAACGGACATCTTCTGCACAGCTGGGACACAGCTGCAACAAACACTCTAACCAGACCTGTGGGCACACTGCAGTGCACCCATAACCTCAGGGGACAGACTGAAGTGCAGGGATCTCTGCACCATCGTCCCATATCCAGTAAAAATGCAAACACAGCGGGTTCTGTGAGCTGGAACAAGGGGTATAATCTGTGGAATCACTCTTCTTCATAAGTGAAAATCTCCCAGCCATTTCCTCTTCCCAGTTTCCCAGAACACAATACACTTTTTACTGGTGTGATGGAATCACACTCAGGTAAAAGAGATAGGAATAGGGCTCCCACTACGTACTTTTGCTTCTGGAATAATAAGCAACATGCACTGATGTATTATAGCAAGTCACAAACAGATAACCCCTACTTCAGGACAGTTTACTGCTACAACTACTTTATTAGCCATACATCTACTTTATTAACCATACATCTCTCTACGATATTAATCTAAGTTACAGTATTTTGTTAAATCAGTTCTCTAACTTCCTTCTACCATAATTTGCAAACGTAATTGTAACTTCACTTCCAATCATGAAACAGTAGATCCAGATTTAGTGTGGAGGCAGATGGTATAAAAATCCCTGAATGCATATGTCCTGACTAAGGTCACCTGAAATCATTTTGATATCACATCAACATTCTAGCAAAAAAAAAAATGTTGCCAGAATCAATATGAACCCTTTGACTCTTTATCCTTACCTCCTTCCAGTAGCTTGCCTTTGTAGACACAAAGGTTTTCTCCTCCACAATGCTGCTGATAGACTTTGATTTCATCTCTGTAATCAGCGTTATCGTGAGATAAATGCACATTTTTTCCTAGAAAGACCATGGTAACAAATGCGTTGCTGCGTAACGAGGGCTTGGGGAATCCTCCAGAATTCTGCATCAGGAAATACACAAAAAATGCATTCAGCCTCCAACTCTTAAGAAAAGGTGACCACAAAGATCATATATGTGCAGCATACGCTTCAGGCTTCCAGTCTTTTAAGACAGGCCTTGAGCTGCTTAAATTGGAAAGTGTTTTGTAATATGCAGAAGGGCAGGAAAACATTGCTAACTGAAAATCCATTGCATTGAATTGCCCAAAATTGCAGGGACCACATTTAAGGACCCATATCGTCCCTCCCAATCCTGGGTTCCTACAATTTCCTTTACAGGAATCAAAACTGGCTGAAGATATCATGTAACAGATGAAGTTTTCATACACTGAAGGCATTTCATATATCCCTCTGAAGTTCTGGTACTAGATATGGTCAGAGGCAGGATCAGATTGACTAAAATGGAAGGCTTTAAGTATGAGTTCCTATGGTTTTTTTGTTCAAGCACTTTTTTTCCTCCCAACTTAAGAAAAACACCAAGTGTTTTAGTATATAGAGAGATGAGTGGAAGTTATATATTTTAATAGTTTTACATTTTCTTTCTTTCAAAAATTCAGTGAATCTTTATGCAAACTAGGTATACACATCTTTCAGCATTAGATAAATACACCAATCAGGAAAGTAATATACATATATATAAACAGAGAAATAGACAGAGAGAACTTACCTTTGTTAAAAGTTGCTCTACATCATTTGGTGCAGTGGTGGGATGAAATCGTCTCCCTCTGGGCATCCCACTTCTCATTGTATTTATGCTCTTGTCTCCTTTTTTCAGGGGGGGAGGTGGCACTGGTATCACATAATTGTTAATGACGGGGAGTTGATACGGGGATATACCAGTCACATACTCCATTGAATTCATAAGTCTTAACCCACTCCTCTCCCCCTGCAAAAACATTTTAAACAGGTTAAATAGGTTATGTAAAAATAGCTACTAAGCATATTGAACTAACCATGGTTTGACTGCTCTTCACATTGAGTAACACACATACTTCTAGAACAACTCTTTAACTTGGTGCTTTCAATTTTGTTCATGAAAACATTTCTGTGCTAAAACCCTTTCTTTTAATTTCCGAAGCAACAGGCAGATTGCTTGAAAATGCCACCCTTCTAGATATATACAACATTGTAAACCACGTACTACTTGTAACCATGCAGAGTTCCAATCACAAGCAGACAGAATACTGCGTAACGCCACAGCACTGCTGCGTTCTCTCAGCAGGCAAGCAAATTCCAAAGCAGCCAGAATCTTCCAACAGTAACACCAACTGTTGCAACTGGCATCAATTACACAAGATGTGGCTCAAAATGCTTCTTTCCCATTTGTAGAGGAGGTTTAGTCCTCCTTCAGGATGAAATGCAAACAGAGGGCCAGGGCCATGAAAAGCAAGACATCTCCAGAGAATAAATTCTGCAAACGTTGCATGGTCTGGATCCAAGCTCTGCATCACGTCTTCATAATCTATAACTGATTTAGCTGTTTTGTCAGTAGCGAGCATTAAAGAAACCATTTAAATCACCCGTTAATTTGAGTAGACATAGACAGTGCCAGCAAATTCTTGGAGAAAGGATGGTGACCGTCACAATACAGAGCAAATGCACAGCAGAAGGGTCGGGTCATACAGCCTCTGACAGTCAGTGGTACAGGTCACAGCCCCATTCCAAAATCCTCCAGTCCCACAGAAATCCTAACACAAAGCCAACTACATAATGTTTTTCTACAACAGAAGACAAGTCCAAATCTCACCTGAAAGTAACCGCGTACACATCAAGATCATGTTTGGCTACTCCAAAAAGCTCTCAATCTCTGAACCCGCTAGTGCCACTTAGTAGGAAGAATGGTAAAAAAAAGAAAGAAAGTTTTTGCTACTTTGCAGCTGTAACTGAAGACGAAAACTTGTAAGACTGTGTGAAAATATTCCTGAGTTACTGGTGTTAACCAGGTGGCTCCCTCTCTCTCTACATAACAGAAAATCTATGCAGAGGGAGAAAATTTTGCACGCAGAGAGATTTTATACTATGAAAGATAAGTCACCACATTTTTTCCTCGCTGTGATCAAGAACTGAGCATTAGGCCAGTAAGACAATGTCTTGAAAATTAAGGGCAGGTTAAAAAGGAGAGTTTAAATAAAAGCTGATAACCATTTGGAAGGCATGTTGCCTGCAGTATACACTTCTGGGAACTACAGTGCTAAAGCAGTATTATAAAGCTGTGTCTAAAATTATATGATTTTCAGAATGAGATATGGCCTCACCCCACTGGCAAACTGCTGATCATGTTCAAGTGCGTGGTGCTTTTGTTTAGAGCTTGAAGTCTTTGGTACAGACCCTACTCCAGCACAGCTGCGAAGTGGTCGGAGTCGAAATGGGTGTTGCATGTTTCCTGGCGCTGTATTTGGTCGCCAGGAAGTCTAGAAAAGGAAAAAGAAAATAGCTACAAAATCTCAGTGTATAGTTTCCAGTGGAGAGCAGCATCATAAAGAAGAAAAAAAGCACTGATTAAGATATTTGGACGTGATGATTGATTCTCACGTACCTTCAGGAAATGAAATTTTCTAGTCTGCCTCCAAAGAGCCAGACCCCTTTAGGCATCTCTAATTGAACATCCAAAAACTGCAGCATCCAAAATAACTCTTGGCCATAAATACAGGTTTTGCTACTGTCTCTTCACAGTGCAGCCTTGAGTCAAACATAATGAACTCAGAAACTGTAGCAGCGTGCTATGTTTTGGTGACTGCAGCACATGGACACTGAGAGAATGCATGACAAAAGCATGCCTATTTTTGTTCAATACTGAGCATTCTTCTGACTTTTTATTTCATCCTTTCTTTGTATACCCGTCAGAATACCAAGTTAAAATGTTAAAGCCAAAAAAAACTGTTTAACTGAGATAACTCACCATCTTAGAAAAGGCAGGCTCCTTGGATCGGTGTTGATGAGAAGGATGTCCACCATTATAATCAACTACAGGTCCAGGTGCCTGCTGTATGGAGAGGATAAGGTCATTCAAGACTGAAAGTCTGTCTTCAATCTGCAGCAATTATCATTATTGAAATGGAGAACCAGTTAAAACTGAACTATATATTTGGCCTTTGACCTTAGACTTTAGTATCTTTATATTTCAAGAGTATATTAACATTCCTTCTCTGCCTGTTAACAGAGAGTAAGAGGCTTCTGAGCCACAGCTCCAAAGCACGGCCTTCTGGAATGAGCTTTAGTCTTATTCTACTCCTTCAACTCTGTTTTCTAAAAGATCTCCATTGCTTTCAGGATTTTACGACACATGTAAACTCGCCTACAGCCACAGTATTCATTGACAATGTACGATACCAGCCTAACCTTGGGTGACACGGCAGATAACAAGGAATGATTCAAGCAGATTTATCACAAAGCAAAGCTATTGTTTTGGAGGTTCTGATGTGCCATTCCTACAACAATGGCTTCGCAAAATTTCTCTTTAATGACACAATCCTGCAAACAGGAAATCAGCCTCGAGTGATGAAGGATGAGGCCCCAACTTGGAACAATCAGAGGAGTCAATGCTCTAGACCAAGCACCGATGTCCCAGATGTGTATGCACGCTTTCAGCTGTGCATGCTTACATCATAGCATATGGAGTAGCTGGTGAAACTCACCAGTTGTGAGCAAGCAGACGGTTCTCCAGCCACTACAGGGTGGAGCCCATAATGATTTCTTGGCCCAAGTGGCGGATGTGGGGAGCGCATAGAGCTGGCATCTTCCACTGATCTTCTGGATTGCTCCACCTAAAAATACAGAAATTTACGTCTCTGAGGTACTAAATACAGCAATGTTGGACTTGCCTTCTGTCTGTCTTTCATTGGACAGCTATGACTAGCAGCTTGCCTAGATCTGACAGAACACCTGGTGAAGGAAGGAAAGGAAATCACGAGGGGAATGAGAGAAGGACGTGGGAAAAGACACATTCCCATCTCTGGTTCATTTCCCTGCAGCTCTCCCCAGCTGCTGATCCCCTCAAGTTCAGTTCATCTGCCTGTTTTGCATATCTCTCAATTCTTGGTTTGGTTGAAGGTCTCTTTCTTTTCTAAATTTGAGTGCATCTGCCACTTCCTTGCTCTGACTGCTGCCCCTCCCTAGCTTTTCATCTCAAAAGCCCCATGTTGGGCTGACAACCCTTGTGGAAATAGATAGGTCTGTCTCTCATCCTCCCTTGCTCAGTCATCTGTCTTTCTCTTTTCCTTTTAGATTAGCTACTCAGCCGAATTCACTGACTGTATGAGCTGAGAATTAAATTACACCGCTAACTCCAGCCAGGTTCCTGTGTCCCAGTGTGGCATCACAGCAAAGATAGAGATCACATATCTGCAGGCGTCTCCCTTACACTTCTCACTGAAGGAAGCAGGTTTGCATTATGTTCAAAAATTATCCAAGTCCAGAATCCCTTGATAGGGTGCTTAGTCGCTGCTTCCACTGTGGTGACTTTCTACCAGCAGGAGTTCAGTCAGCAAATAATGCCTTTGCAATTACCATAATGATCAGTGTTTTTCATTAAAATCTCCTCCTTTCTTTACCTGATTAATTGCTCATAAATGTATTACTTAAAATTAAGAAGATTTTACATTGTTTTTCAACTGCTCAAAGAAACATCTAGCTTCTCAATGCATTCTTCTCGATGTATGCAGGCTCCTAATAAAGAAATATGATGTTGACTGTATTTCAGCCAAAATGAGAACTTTTCCCATATGAGTCCAAGTGACTTCATGGGGAGAAGAACCATTGACTTCTGTGGGATTTCCATGACACTAACAACAGCTACAGACTCAAGCTCTACCTACATGACACCGAAGTGAAGACTTCTGAAACTTTTTTTCATTACTTACACACTGGTTCTGCTAAATATCATGTTGGGAGACAAACAACTGAAAATGTGAGCTCAGTGCTCAGCAGCAGTCATAAGCAGATAGTGTCTAGAATTACTAGGAGAAGAACTGCAACACATATCTTGAATTATTCATCCCATTCTGGTTCCCATTTCAGAACAGAAATATTAGAACTAGAAAACGTACAAAAATGGCAACAGTAATGAGAAGCCTGGAAGGGCTCATGTATGAAAGATTCAATAGACTGAGGGTCTTCATCTTGGAAAACTGAGAAGGAATATGAAAAAGATATATAAAACCACAAATGCCTTGGAAAAGGAGAACAATTGTTAACTTTTTTTCATAACCAGAACAATGGAGCATCAAACAGAATTATCAAACAGCAGAAATGCAAGGAAGTATCTTTTCATACAACTCATAATTGAATTCCACAACAAAGGACACTGCAGAACCAAAATAATTAGATTCAAAAGGAATCAGGTGCATGTATGGAAGTTCCTGGACTGCTGGAGAGAGGAAGGAGAGTAACCTGGGGCAGGATCATCCTCTACTTGCCTATTTCTTGTACTTTTTCCATAAACATCAGAGACGGGACACTTGGCTCAGTGAACCTCTGGCCTGACTCACAGCAGTTATTTAACACAGGGCAAAACTGCCATGTCCCATCAGTTCTCAGTAGCACTCAAGTCTTACCTTGATTTTCTGCAGCCTCTCCTTCCTCATAGGAGTTTCAAGTTTCCTTTTTATTTCCAGATGATGATGACGCTATAAATGTAAAAGAAAGAAATCTCATTAATGGAACTTATGAGATCTCAGTGAGTGTAAGAACACTTGCTTCTGTTCTGCTTATCACTTGCCTGCTCCCTAGTCGTTATCCTCGTTGAGCCCTATTATAAAACTACTATTCATCCAATCGATTTGCATTACACCTTGTGTATATGAACATTGGCAAGGGGACAACTAAGCATTCGTAAAGTTGTAGGGACCAACTCCATTCTTGATAGGTAACTGGAATGTGCCCAAATTCCATACTCAGATAAGATATACAACCATGTTCAAACTCTTTTGTTTTGATTAGAATTTTTTTAAGCAAACTAGCCCTTGTGTGAATATCATCACACAACCTGATGACTGCCGAAGTGCAGTAAGTAAGCCAGGACAGTGCATGTTCTAACAACAGTATGGGTTAACAACTAGGGGCCAGTGGAGGTTTCATGTCGGGGACAAGAAGCACAAAGATTGTCCTTTTTCCCAGCAGGACAGAGCCTTTCAGGGGAGCATGAGGGCACAGCTACGGAAAACAGTCCAGTATGAGTTAACAGCCACTGGCTGTCAGTAGGGAAGCACCTGAAAAGGCTCACACATCACTAGTAAACACATACCTCCATGTCAAGGACCTTATGAAATATGGCCTGAGCCAGGCACTGCTGTACGTATCTTTGGTGCTCCCTCCTCATAGCATTTAGCCGGTATTCTTTCTCAGGTATTATTCTTCCACTCCTTGAGATCTGCCGTAAACAAATAAAACGTAATAAAAAGGAGAAGACAGAATAAAGTATGTTTTTAACCAGAGTGCAATTTCCCAGAAAGACTACTTTCTCTCCCCAGTCAGCTGCCAGGGTGCTGGAACTCACCTTGCCAGCACAGAACTGTAGTTCTTTGACCCCATGGACCCCATCAGCCAGATGAAGAGAGCAGGAGAGCTGCAGTGGCATTTCCTAATAGTTGAGGGCTCAGCCTTACTCTTCATGAGCCACTGCCCAAGACAGTGGAGGGGGATTAAATACTTGCCTTCATACTGCGTAATGGTTGCATCTGCCTGTGCTAAACAGAGTCACACCTAAGAGTGCATCCATATTTTTAAAAATATTCAGCACATTCATCTTTACCAAATTCTTGAGTTTTCCATTAAACAGCTTTGAAAAATAACACTGAAGTTATTTAAACAACTAGTAGAGCCAAAGATGCTTAGATTTCACAGTTTAAAAAAAATAAGAAAATCAATATGATTCTGTATATTTTCAAACTGAAAGATTTTGCAGAGGCAAACTCCAATGAGCAAAAAGAAATATAGCGCAAAAACATAAAAACATTCTGAATTTATCAAAACCTCTCCAAGAAGTATCTTCTTCTGCCTGAAGGTGACATACAAGCAGATTGACAAACGCTGTCACATCACTGTACTTGTGCAGTAACGCAGTGCCATCTGAAATACCTTACTGAAACTGCATTGCTGAGCAGAAACTCAGGGCCAAGCCAAGGCTCTGAAATATATTTACATTCCTCCCCAGTCCACGTCAGCCACTGTTCCCAGTTTCACGCAGATACACATTATGACCGTTGCATTACAGAAGGTGCAGTGGAAGCACAAGGCTGATATTCTATGGAGTATGGCCTCCATATTGACTGTTAGCACATCACTTCTAGCGTGGAATCATCACCCACCAGCAGCCTCCATGTCAGCATCTTCACAGCCCCAGGTGGCCCTTGGACCTTGACGTCCTGAAACGTGCCCAATGCCAGCTACAGTATTTCCTCAGCTGTCACTACTGTCTCCAAAACCACCGGGCACACGGCGCTCAGCTCTGAGCTCAGTTTTACCTGTCTGTCTGCCGTTCTGACTGCAGCAGCGCAGCCTGGCGCGCCACAGCCCTGCGTCCCTGCCACAGCTGGCTGACCGACGGTAGACGGTAACGCGGTGGGAAACGCCTGCATTAAGCAAACCTGCCCCCAGTCTCAGTGCGATCCTTTGGCTCTGGTCTGGCACGGCATACTTTCACGTGTTTGGCTAGCTGGTCAAATTCTTACCAACGACAACACATACCTCTAACAAATAAACAATAGAACCATCAGTGGTTGAGCAACATTAAAAGAAGCAAAGAATTTTTTTTTTTTCTCAGAAAAGGAAGCTTTTAAATCTCACCAGTCCTGATCTCTGAAGATGTCGTCTTATCCTGGTATTGCTGAAATATCCAACCAGGTGTTTGTCTGTAAGGCTATTGTAGGTTGCAAGGAATCTGAAACAAAATCAACACAGATGATCCCCTTTGACAGCCAGATTATTACAGCTTAACTTATAAAGACCTACCCGACAGTTTGCTTCACAAAATGCTGTCTTGATGAATCATGCCCAGCATTTTGTCAGATAAATGCCCATTAGATTATGTAAAGGTAGTATCTTATTGCCTCTGGAAGATTCGTACCAAAAACGAGTGACTTCTACGTAAGATATAGCAGCTCAGCACCGAACAGCGTACTACCACTGAGGCACAGAGTCCAACAGCGCCCAGCTCTGAAAGTCTCCTCCAAGAACAACTCCTGCAACAGCCTCCTCAGACCATGGAATCACAGAATGGTTGGGGTTGGAAGGGGCCTTTAAAGACCATCTAGTCCAACCCCCTGCAGCGAGCACGGACACCTTCAACCACAGCAGCTTGCGCAGAGCCCCATCAGAGCAACTCTGACCTTCGGCAGGTCAGCATCACGCCACACAACTGGGAGCTGCATCCCTGGCTGAGTCCAGCAGGCACGGACCCAGCTCCCTGGCCACCCTGCCAAGGGTCCTGCTGGAAGTACGGGAGTATACGGCACATCACCGGGGAGCGAGACGTCCCAGAACGCCTGCACCACTGCACAGCTCCGGCAGCCCCCACGCACCCCGTGCTCCCCTTCCCTCTGCCGCCAGCCAGCTGGTGGTAGATACAGCAGTGACAGAGTTTCTGGCAGCTGTTGCAAAGACCTGTAAGAATAACTTGGGTTGGGAGGCACCTCCAGAGGCCGTCTAGTCCAACCTCTGGCTCCAGGCATATCACCTATCAGACTTTACCAAAACAAAGGAATTTTCCTGAGTTCTTCATTGCCAGCTCAGAGACATTATTGTCTGGTATCTAACACAAAAAAATGGCTTTCTCCAGTCTACTTATGTTAGCAGAAACTGCTGGCACCAAAGCATACTTTTAGGACAGAACACTGTTTCCATAGTATTTTCACTGGCTTGAAAGTTAGCATACACTTTATTAACTTGGCTGCAAATCTTTGCACTGATGAAGACTAGTTATTTGTGTTTTCACCCAAGGCCTCCTTCAGTATCCACATTTCCACTCATTTCTTTATGGTACCTCCCCCATCAGAGGGACTGCATATCAAATTCATCACTTGGAACACCTACACAGGAAATTAAGTGGCTTTGATTTCAGGTGTCAAAAAACATGCGCAAGTCTTCCCTCCTGTTTTGAACCATTTTCTCAATTGGGATTCAGCTACATGTCTATTAAAATGTTGCCTGGCCAAGCGCTAATTTGTTCATGAACAAAAAAGCCTGTTTCAAAAAACAGTTCTCCGTTTGGCCTTTACACCAACAGAACTCACAAACTACTCCATGACAGCAAGATTAGGAACTGCCCTGTTTCGGAGACCATTTATTCAAACACAACAGTGACTCTAGAATATTTATTTAAATAAACAGTCAAGAATGCTTGTCCCACAAACATATTCATAAATTCAATTGCACAAAGCTGGTACAGGGCAGGATTCATGACTTCTGTGGTATTTACAGTCTAGAAAGCATATGTTATTGCAGTATGTTTTTGCTGGTTGTCACCATATGGCAGCAGTTTGTCTGATGTGCAGCTCGCATTGATGAGAGTACGTCTTTCTTCCCCCCTCTAAATACACTACATTTTACCAGAAATCATCAGATCTACTCTGTGTGACGGATTTGCTCAGGCTAAATAAAAACCAAATGTACTCAAAGAGTTTGTGCAAAAGGCCAGCAAGCACACCCATCCGTCTGCATGAATCCTGACACACTATTGCTCGGGCACCCAGCAAGCTGCCACCTTTCACCACCTCGGTCCTGCTGAGGAGAATACGCCTTGTGCTGGAAGGACAGGAACAAGTCCTCATTCAAACTGGGCATCAGAAGACCGCTGAGCGGTGCGAGACAGTGCCCCTCTCTCAAGAACCCAGCGCCTCTTGGGTCGGAAAGCACAGACACTGCACAACTCATCGCTCAGTTCAGTATCGGCCTGCACAGGTCAAAGCTAAAGACATGGATCTCTTTTGCCACACTGTGCTCCAAAGATGCGAGAGACCCAGCAGCAGGTACTGCAACGGCTCTGAAGTGCCATTCAGTCAAGAAGACTCCTGGGACTACGCTGCTGTAGTGGCCAGAACAGTTGGGCTATGCTACCTTCTGGTAATCCTCAGCCCTTTAAAGACCCCTGATGTAGCGGGGCACAAGTCCTCTTCCGTATCCAGAGCAATAAAGACGGGTCCAATATGAAATGCAAGAACCTCTCAAGTCTTTTCCAGTTCCCAAGTCAATATACTAAAGATTCAATTCTATGCATATATTGAACAATCCAAAGTGAAGAAATTGCATTTCTCTTCATTTATTGGTGAAAAACTGTAAGACCAACAAACATGGAGGACCAGACCATGCAGACCATCCAAGCAAGGTCCTCTCTTGCTCTACCCAAGAAATATCATGCATCTCTGGAAAGCCAACAGAGCTAAGTCACCGCAGCTACCAAAGACCAGAGCTTCCAAAAATTGAACCTAAGATATGAGAGTTGAACACAAAAACTGAAGCATCCATAATTAGCAAATAGATATTTAATGGTTCTTAGCACAACGTTTTTACTTCGCCCTCTGGAAAACAGGATGAATAACACAGTAAGTGACAGTGGACTTACGTTTTTAATGCTCTAAATCCACTCACATTTGTAAAATGTGTACACTCAGATACATATTGCATAATACATTCAGCCTGACCTTTGGGGTCTCTAGGCAGGATATGTTTCAATTACACAACAAGAGATCGATCACTTCTATTTCCTTTGGCTTTAAATTTAAATGCCACTGTACCTCTATTACATATCTTTCAATGGGATAGTTCAAGATAAATGTCTGTTGCTAGGCTGAGTTACCACGCGCAAAAGTATACTCAAGGAAAGAAAGAACAATTAAAAAAAAAAAAAAAGAAATCCAAAAAAACAAAGAGTTCATGGATTGACATGAATTTTATCTGGGGTTTCACAATAATCTCACAGGTAGCCTACCAACAATAAATTTTAAACAATTTAGCTTACCCTGTTATGCATGTTGATTAAACACTGGTACTATAGCAACTGTTCTACATTACATTACTTTTTCAATCCACTGTTTGCATGTGCATTTGAAACTACCAGATTACATCAACTGCGCTAAGTATTGACTTATGGTATCACCTGGCAATTGCACATAGAGGCAGAGGAGAAACCCAACCTGATTCCTTCTCATTTACTTCCTTCCATCTAATATTTCATGGACCATATAACTAGTTAAAATGCAACTCCCACCTGAGCACAGTGATGTAGCAACTTTAGTTTCAAAGAAGTCTCTGTACATGTATTTTCGTATTTAAATTATGAACAGGCTGGTCCTCAGAAATGCGGAATTAAATTCAAAGTTCAGAAGGGTATGGGAGGAAATAAGGAAATGCCTTGTGCCTGAACCAAAACCCCTCAAACCACTGGAAAGAATGCAGCTGGATCCGTGGGCTGTGGCAGAGTCCCACTGCCAAGAGAAGCCTGAGCTCTCTGCCCAGGTGAACGCCTCCGTCGTCGAGAAAACGAGCCGCGCAGAATTCCCCGCGCACTGACCCGAACTCGGAGTTAAACCGCACGCAGTAAGCAGGGGCTGGCCCTGCAGCCCTGTGCTCCCCTGGAGCTTCTGCCAGTTCTCCTGCTTATTTCAGCCGATCAGTTCACCCTCCCTGATTAGAGTTTAGGCGAGTTCAGCTGGGCGTGGGACATATTGGTACTACGCTTGGGCTTGGCCCAGATCCCTCTGGAGTATCCCACTGACACCGAAGGATCAGACCCACCCGGCGCTCCAGCGGATCGGGTGCCGCAACCTTTCCAGTCCAAGGGCAGCATCAGTCTTAAAACAGTACTATATCAAATGTTCGTTACGGTCGTAACACAGTTAAGTCCAAAAAGACTATTTTTCTGGATATTTCTGGGAATCCCTTTTCTCTGCCTGTTTATCCTGTTTATTCTCCTCTCTTTTTTTCCTCTCCTTTTATTAGAATTGCAGACAATTTTCCTGGCACAGGAGCTAGACTGACTGATCTGTAGTTTCCGGGACTAGTTTTGAAGCTCTTATCAAAATTAGTATCACATTTGTTTCTTTGGTATCCCAGCCAGTGACTACGTATCACTCCTAGTTCAGTAATTTCATACCTAAGGTTATTTAGAATACTTGGATGTACACAGTTTGTTCCTGATTTTTTTCTTCATTTGCTCAGAATCCTCCCTCACTTGCATCTAAATTTGAGCCGAGTTCCCCAAATTCATGCCCAATCAAGACTGATTCAAGTGAAGCAACCTCCTCAAATTCTTCGACAGTGATGTTCCAGACATAGGACTTTTACTACAGAGTCACTGAGAAACAGCTGCATCCTATTTTAACAATAACTTTTTAATGGACATCCACTTTTTTTTTAATAAATGTTCTTTGTCTTGCTTACTATCAGAGACAAGAATACACTTTACATTATACTAGAGATTACATTTTTCAAATTTCTAAAAGCAAAAAGTCAACTGCCAAAAATCTCTCTGCTTCTCACCTGACTAGAATTTTGAAGTGAGGCACCATATACAACAGGAAAAAGGAAAATTCCCCAGTTTACACATACCTTTCATTAACTAGCCAGTTCTACTGGAACAGGGCAAACCTCTGCAGCTCACTTAAGATGGATCTGCCAAGGTGGGGAAGAGGTGCCAAGAAGCTCCGCCGTCAGGTGAAGCCAGCCATAATTCTCATCCGTGAAGTCATCTGAACACAAAGACTTTCTCGATCACCAGAAGAGTAGGAAGCGAAGCCGGGTAGCTGCCTACCCCAGGCACACCCTCTATCAAAGACATAACAAGTGTGGAGCACGTGCTCTCTACGGACACCCCGGAGAAACTCCGCGCCTGAAAGAAGCACCCCAACTCCTGGGCCAGCCACGGGACCTGGCAGGCAGACGCGTCCCATTCCCAGGTCTGGCTGCGCCTTGCGTGGGCAGCTTGGCCTTCCGCCGTTTGGGACAAGCAGCAGTCTGGGTGCTTACCGCTTCAGCATCATTTACACTCCCAGGGCAACACCTTAACAGCCCATTCAGAAAAACAAATTGCCCTCACTGGAGCCAACTCTTCTTTTTTCACCATTAACAAAAGTAATAAATTAATAAAGGCAAGTACAAATACACAAATTAACGAGCAGAACAGAGCTGTATAAACCAAAAGAGACACGATTTATTTCACTTCAAAAAATGTATTGAGGGACAAAGTAAAGCACACATCAATCCAAAATGCCCGGGCAGAATTACGTTTGCAGTTGCAGGGAGTCCAGCTGTGCAGACGACAGAGTACTTAAAACACAAAATACGCTATAGCTGATGACTAGGGTTTTAGTAAACTAAGGGACTGTCCACGTGGAACTCTGTATTCTACATGATTTTCATTGCATTATCATTGCCACTATTATTTCTTAACAGTACCCGTGTTTTATCAGCTTACAGTGCACAACGCACCGTGTACAGAGCCAGTGCTGTGCATCACAATGATTTTTCAGACCGTTCTTAGTCCTTCGAAAGGATATCAGGACAAAGGCACAGCAGGCGCCCTACATTAGCGACATTAGTTTTGCAAAGCGAATCTTCACGGTTAATAATTTACAGTGCAATTAAATCAGCGACTGCTCACCAAAGACATAATCTAAGAGAGCACCAAAGCTTTAGTTATTGGTTGGGAGAGTCATAGGGAATTACAGCCCCACGCCACGTGTTACAGCTGGAGTTTATTGCACGCCAGTCAAACAAACAGTCCTGCCCCTGACAGAGGCCATTCCTCACTCTAACGAGCTCCTGGATCTTGCACTGTTTCTGCTGGGGACATAAAAAAGAAAGACTGGTCTAGCTTTCAGACAGAACAGTTCTAACCACAGGCTGCCGACCACAAACAACAGGTTCAGCATCCCACACAGCAGAGGCACCTGCCCAGCATGTTCCACCTGGGAGCAAAGACTACTCTTAGGAGACGTTCCAGATACCTGGCCGCTGTCTGCCCTTCCCTCCCTAAGGAAACTCTTCAGCCACCATGAAGTATATCCCACTTCCAAAAAATGCTGTCAGGGTCTGCAGAGAGGTAAGCAAATGGTGGCAAAGTGGTTTTCTCCTGGCCCTCCTCTGACAATGGGAAGCTGCTGCCGTGCAGCTGGGTCACCGACCGGCCCTCGGCTGCACCACCTCTGGACTTCACCTCGAGGCACAGTGCTGCCTTCTATGTTTATTAACTATTACTGCTGTGTTTATGAGAAACCATGCTGGAACACAACTACTGAACCAAAACTCACCAAAGTCAGCACGCGACTTGAAATTTAGATGGGGCTTTGGAGTCTAACAATAATTAATTGGTTTATTCCAAGCCCACAAAACCCTTAAGCATATGTACAGTTTTACTCAGGTGACAACCAAGGAAGGCAAACACCACGGTCTCTCCAAATCACACTGTATCTCTGCTTAAATAGCTGCAGGACCCCTTCAGCCTTGGCCATCCAACCTCAATGAGACCATCAGTCATCTTGCCCTATGGACACACAGGTCACACCCACCTGGGTTTCTGTTTCAAAGGCTTCATGCTGCCTTCCCAACTCCTTGTCTAACCTGAACTATTTTACAGCCAAACCACTGAGGATTCTTTGCCCAGATAGTCAGCGAGAAATATTTATTTTATGAATATTTTGCCCCAGGAGATGGTCACCAAGCTCAAAGGCATCTGTAGATCTAATGAGCAGACAGAAATGAGCTTGCTTCGCCTGTACCCAAAGGTAGCCACAATGCTCTGGAAGGCTGAGGGTGGCTCACCCAACACTGCCCGAAGGCGGTACAGGACTCTTACCAAGTTCAACAAGGATAAATGGAAATCCTGCACCTGGGAAGAAGCAACCCCGTGCAATAGCACAGGCTGGAGACAGCCGGGCTGGGGAGCAGCTCTGCTGGAAAGGACCGGCCGGCCCTGGGAGGCACAGGCTGAACATCAGCCAGCCGTGTGCCCGGGCAGCGAGGATGGCCTGCAGCATCCTGGGCTGAATTAAGAGGGGCACAGGCAGTAGAACAAGGGAAGCCGTCGTCCCCTTCCCTTGGCACTCGTTAGACCCCAAGTGCATGGCTGTGTCCAGTTTTAGGCCCCAGTGCAAGGAAGCCATGGATGCACCGGAGCAAGTTCAGGGGAGGCCACCAGGATGGTGGAGCAGGAGCACGTGCCCTGGGAGCAGAGGCTGAAGGAGCCGGCGCAGCCTGAGCGGGGCAGCTCCGGGGGTCCCACAGCAGCCAGCCAGGGCCTAGGGGGATGTGGAGACGATGGAGCCAGAGGAGGGACAAGGGTACAAGCTGAAAGAAGAGGGGCTGAGGGAGGCCTAATGAAAAAGTTCTTCCTCGTGAGGAGGGCCAGGCACTGGCGAAAGCACCCAGGGGGTATGCTGTTCCCAGCCTCGGAGGTTTTTGGGATCAGTCTGAATGAAGTCACCTGGTCTGACCCCATAGCTGACCCTGTGAGCAGAAGACTGGACTAGAGACCTCCCACAGTCTCTTCCAGAGTGAATTATTTTGTGATCCTACGACTCATTTGGTTGCTGTACTAGGCTAGCACTGTTTGATGGTTTCCAGAAGGGAAATGGGTTACATCCAGTTTGTGAGGAGCCGAGACAAACCCCACGTGTTGGCCTGTCCCCATCCACTTCAGCAAGCTCTTTGCAAGTCACACCTCTGTAATTTCCACCATTTTCTGTGTCAGATGCAGATCAGAGATATTCCTTGAAGTGAAGTGAATGCCACCAGCCACAGCATAACCGTTCCCCAAAAACTGAATTAACAAATGCCATCCGGAGTCCAGAAGTGCCTTAATGTGGTAACTAGAGTGAAACAATCTTAGGTTTTACGTATCTTGTTTGGCGTTCTATATATTTCTTCATAAAAGATATTTTTATGCACAATACTTTTTCAAAGGTTTTTAAGCAATCAAGTCATGCTACAGGTTCCAATCACGAACACAACTAGACATGGAAATGGGAGCCAAAAGCCTCCTGTTCTGCTACTGATTGGTTGTATGGCCGTGAGCAACTTGTGTCATTATTTCTTTATTCAGAGCATCGCCCACTAAAACAGGATGTGTCAAATTTTGTCATGGAGATGGCGATCTGCACAGGTCCTCAGTTCCCCAGTAGTTGTAATTCGCATCACGTTGGGAAGTTTGGATACTCTGAAACTAACCTGCGGACCCGAAGTCGGACAACGACAAAGGGAAGAGCCTGCAGTCAGCGGCCCCGCTGCCCGTGAGTCCATCTGCCCGTGCCCAGGACAAGGTACTCACCTTGGCGGAGGGCTCCGAGAGCCAGAGAGCACCCGGGTTAGAAGGCGCTGGCCCCCACAGGCTGGCAGGCACCGCCGGGTTCCCAGGCTGCTCCCCGAGCAGCTCCTCCGGCTCCACGCTAACCTAGCGGCCGAAACCCGTTTTGCCCGTGCTGGGGTGCAAGAAAACACCTTCAGGTCTTTCGAGCCCTTGGCGGCACTTAGTCGCCTGTCATTTTCCTTGCAGAACTGAAGCGGCAGGTAACAGGGCAGCCGCCCCGTTCACGCTG